TTTTGATGTCCTCAATCTGAGGACTATAATCTGATTTACTGAGGCTTCAGTAGTTCATAAGTGTAGTGCTAAATAACACACCACTATCTGAAGGGAGCTTAGAATTTGCCATTCGGGCATAGAACCTGTTGTTAATTTATTTGAATCCCACCACTGCTATAATCTGATTTACTGAGGCTTCAGTAGTTCATAAGTGTAGTGCTAAATAACACACCACTATCTGAAGGGAGCTTAGAAACTGTGAACACATATAGCAGGATGCAGCAGCAGCAACAAATATGGGAGAATTCAAGGGAGACCATGTCATACGGTATGTGAAGTAGAAGACCATTACAGCAGAAATGAAAAATGGGGAGTGAAAGTTGTATCAAGTTTCGAAATCAGTCTTCTGACTCTCTAGGGGCCAACATGTGTGTGCACACGCGTGTGTGCGTGTGCGTGCATGTGTGCATTTATGCATGCCATCAAAACAGCAGAACTGCCCACACACATCCTGGAAAGCACAAAGAGACTTCTTAAGCTGCAACACGCCCCCCCCCAAATAAATAAGTTAAATTTGGCTGTGTGTACTGGGGTCCTGGATGAGCACTTTTGGGACCCAAAGGGCTGCAAACACACCTTGGGCCATCTATTTCTGATCTGCTGTGTCTTAAGACAAGCTGAAGACAAAAATCAAGTGTTGTGTTGAGTTTCCACTGATCAGAACTCCCACCATGGGACTGCATCACTTTTGCTAGCACTGCCATAGCACAGGTCTGATCTCCACAAAGGGAACCCACCCTCTTCTTGTACAATGGCAATGCTTCAGCTATCAGCATGATCCCACAATTACCATAGTGGTGGGACCTTCCTTTTAGCAGATGGTCAGTAAGATATTGGCCAAGAGATCTGAGCAGAATTTGCTTCACAATGTTGCAGTTTCAGCCCTAAAGCATTATCATTCTTTGCCAGCCAAATATTCTCTATGCCAGTGGTCCCCAATCTTGAGCCTCCATATATTCTTGGACTTCAACTCCAAGAAATCCCAGCCAGCAGAGGTGGTGGTGAAGGCTTCTGGGAGTTGTAGTCCAAACATCTGCAGGTCCAAGGTTGGAGATCACTGCCCTATGCTGAAGCAAACCCACAATTCTGCAGAACTTTCTTTATCAGCTCTCCCTACAGAACTCACAAACTTCATTTCAGCAAAATGTAATTTACATAGGAACATAATGCCAAGGTTTTCAGCCACCCCCCTCTCACTATAAATGATACTTGGAGCAGATTTTCTTCTGAAAGTGTTCATTCTAATTAAAGAGGACACTGAAAGCAGCAGAAATCTTGTAAATTACTAGTAAAGTTTTGCAGCTTTATTACTAAGCACTGGTGAGGCCTGCTATGGCTGGGGGTGAGAGTGAGAGATGACAGCATTTGTAGAATTGCAAGACTAGGCAATTATGCCCCAATCGAGTTTCACCTCCCAAAGGGCAATTAGCCATGACACCCAGCAGACTTCTCTCTGACCTAATGAAATTTATGGCTTGCCAGGTTATGCCTCTGGTTGGGCTAAACAGATTAAAATCAACAAAGCACCTGGTAGAGACTGTAACTTCAACTTTAACTTTCTCAAGAATCATTGGGAACAGATTCTAGGCTAAACAAAAACGGATAAGGCAAATTTTCAACGCTTAGTCCCCATTCTTGCCAAAGATAGTCATTCTGCACTATAGGTTCATTTAGGGAGGTGTATGACAAAATTGTTTTTTGGGGGGCCTTTTATAGTGTGTTTCTTTCATTTTTGTGTTTTTCTGTACTGTTTCTTTTGTGTTACAAAAAAGGAAAAGCCTCTTTTGGGTTTCCATTTATGTTTCCCAATTCATGTTTTCTAGCATTCCAAAAGTCCTAGGGAATCCTTAAAAACTACTCAAAAAAGAGGAGGCAAGGCAACAGAATATCAATCTACTACAAAAGCAAGCATACAGAAGAGAAATCATTGTCATCAGACTTATGCAGATACTACTTTACAGAAAAATCTTCTGATGGTGCCCATCACCTAGTGCCCACCATCACCATATAAAAATCCTTGTCCAAACAAGATGTCCCAACATCACCAGTCCTACACACAGGGCACAAAAATACCTCAGTCACACATCAACCAATCCAAAAAGCACTAAACCACTCCAAAATTAGAAAAGATAAAACAAAAGTAGGAGTAAGGACTTGGGCAGTAAAACAGAAAAAAGGAAGGAATCACATGGGCACACATTAAAAACAACAAGAGAGAAATGCCTGAAGTTTTGTCCTACCACCCACACAACTTAGTGGCACACTGCCACTGCCACAAACTGCCTGTAACAGCAGAATCAGTCATTAAAATATTATTAAGGCCAAGACTCAGGCCAAACAACAGTCTTGTTTTACAACACTCAAGTGATAATAGGTACATATTGTCAAGTCATCTTTAATTTATGGTAATTGTATGAATTATATGACAGGGTCACTGCTTTGAGGACCCTGTGATAAAAACAAAGCCCACCTCTCTCAGTCCAACTTTTATATAATTTTGTTGGGATGAAAGCACACAGGGTTACAACTCATGCCTGAAGAAAGCAATGGGGTATTTGTCAGCTATCAATAAGAAAATACTCTCCTTTTGTTTTACAACAAAACTGGAAGATGTCAGTGGTATGATGATGAAGCTTTCCATTGTCCTTGGGCATTATTGTTACTTATACAAAATCTATTGTTTCTTTTAGGTTAACTGGAAGCCTGCCCTACATACAAGCAGCGACAGTTCAGTACTCTTGTAACCTGTAGCAGAAATACTTCACACTCTACACCTTGTCTCTTTAAGTTATTTCAATTAAAATGATCGTGGTGGTGATGATGAAGATGATAGTCTGGTTCTGATAGATCTGCTTCTCTCTCCCCCACCTCCTCCATACTAGTTAGGAGGACACCTGCATTAGCCATCCATGGACTTTTAATTGGTTATAGTGCATTTTAAATTCTCCTCTGAGAGAGAACAAACATATGCTTTATTCATATGCACAAAAGCCTTTGTGTTTAGGAGCAGAAAAGACCCATCAGTTTGGCTCATCAAGCCTTAATCCCTTCCACTTCCATCTCATGGGATATCCATTTAAGTGCTCTTTCAAATGACCCCGTGTCAGTGTTAACAGCCTTCACAGCAACCCATTTCAGATTACTATTATTATTCTCTTGTTTAAAATGCTACTCAGTGAACATCTGTTCTTAATTATTACTTTTTTGTTTTGTTATTTTTATGCACCTTGTGCCTCTCACCTGTAACTAGAGCCCTCTTAAGTGGCAATGTTAGATGGTCTTACATATGCGTAAAATTACAGGAGGCAAAGAGCTTGGTGCTGCAGCTGTCAGTCAATACACTAACTTCATTAGCCCCTGTGGAGGGGAAATGGCACATTTGTAAAGCATGAATTTTGTAGGTCAGATAATTGTAGACAGAAGAAAGGAAACTGTCCCCCCGCCCCTTTTAATAGTTGGTCCAAACAGGACTTGGGCATACTGGAGCTGGCCATATAATTGTTGAGATGGCAAAGAGGATTCTCAAGGTTAACCTCTTTAGAAAGTTGAGGGACATTTCTGGAGACTTACCCTTCCCTCAACTGTGCTGCTGAACCACCACGTTCCATTTTTGTATCCAAAACTGGCCCTCCCATAAGGGCCTCGGGCAGCAAATCCTGGGTGGTATGGAGGGGGAAATGGCAGCTGGCCTTTGTTGGAGGCAATGCTGCCTCTCCTAGGAAGCCTGCCTTCGTAACTTCTATCCTAGTCAGAAGGAGGAATCAGTCCAGTTTCCTTCTAGAAGAATGTGCAAGTAATGCTACCATATCATTACCACCTCAGAAAATGAAACACCTTTGCCCTGTGAAAAGAGCATTACGAGAAGTCAATGTACTGCTTCCTACTTTCAATGTACTACTTCCTACTTTCAATTTTTAGTACCTGCCAAATGGGTTCATTTTCACGCCTCCAAATATATATACTTAAAAAAAAAGTAAGGAAGGGGAAAGTGCTAACAGTGGCTGCTGCCTGGTGGATCATATTTTCAAGATGGGCCAGGAAGTACAAACACCCACCTCTGGAATCTGAGTAGAGAATAATGAAATAATAGTGGCTCACACCTAGTCTCAAAAGCTCCTTCAAAGAATGTACTTGCAAACACCTATTCAGTGGTACTCAGGATGGGGCTTCCTGAACTGTGGTTACAGACAGATGTATTATTAAGTGTCTCTTAGATGTAGAAAGGATTCTACTGTATTCTATTTCAGCTGCCCAAACAGAGAGAATTCTAGTTGCAATACCATTGATAAGATGCTTCTTCTGGGATCCTACAGAGAAAGACTAGCACTCTTCCTGCTTATTTATGAACTCAAGGATTAGCATAGTAGCATAGATTAACCTCTCGGTCATGGCACTGTTCTTGAATTTCTAGTCATCCACTGAGTGTTTCATATGCTATTTTAAGGAGGAAATGCCCCTCTCCTAATCAACTGTAGTGGAAGACATACTTTTTCCACTGTTCATACATTAAAACAGGCATACTTTTATTCAATTGGATATTGCTTCAGTGTGGCAAAAAGTGACACACAAAGTGGGCCTTGAGTTGAGTTTATTTCTGCAGACAACATGTGTGCTTTTCATGGGATATGTGCTATCCCCTGATTCTTGTTTAAACATATTAAAGAAGTCACTAGGTGAAGACGGCGTAACTGGCTACACAATATCTCTTTGCCCTGGGGAAACATTTAGAAACATGCCGAATATATGAGTACACATTATTCTTGTAAGAAAAGTGGCTCCCAGCCTCTGTTTTTGGGAAGGCGATTTATAAAGGAAAACCCACGGGCAGCAAAAGCACCAAAGAAGGAAGCTGTGTTCAGTCTTGCCTCTGTGCTGCTACCTTGGCATGGCTCTGATTGCAGCACAGACGGTAAACACCAGAGTGTTTGTGTGCAAATAGCATTCTACTGAATGATGTCTGCACCTGTGTCAACTGACATCAGTATCTATTTATTCAGTTTATTTAGGCAGTTCACAAGGCACACCTGCACCCGCTCAGGCACAGAACACCATTTCTCTTCTAGTGAAAGGAAACAAAACATGTTTAAGGTGTGTGCAGATGTGTGTGTGTGTGTCTTGGAGAAATGAGAATCCTTATTTTCCCTACAGGATCAAACGTTTCTTTGTTAGCCTAAATTCAAGTTGGTGAATGGAGCTTTGGGGCTCTTGTATAACAATTTGCAGTTTAAGATACAGTGGAAAACACTGTGCCTGTAGACTGATTTGCTGGATTAAGGTAGGGGGGAACACAATTTTACAAATATATTTTAGAACTGGTGGTATCTGACTCATCCCTCTTTCAACAGAGATCAAGACTTTGGAGATGATTTCCAGCAACCTGTCTGATCAGAGGCAATCACGGGACAATTGAAACATGAACACACAAATATGTGTGGTGTCTTGTCAAACTGTTTCCAACCTGTCTGCCTTGGCTCCAACCAAAAAAGTAAGCCATCTACAGAGTCTGGACAATTTACTCCCAGGATACATGCAATGCAGCCTGAGAGTTGTAGTTAAAAATGTAACTTTCCCAGGTTGTGACTACAAGGCAAACATGGGATTCTTCACACTAAAAACGAGAGAGCATTGTGTTTATAGAAGAGAACCACATTTTAACACCAAACTCTCTCCAGATTGGCATAAACCTACAAATTAGTACAGCGGGCGGTGGGAGGGGGAACTGTTTGCAAAGCATTTGAAAGGGAAAAACTGAAGGCATAGCACTGCACAATTTTTCCTGCAGAAACCTCATTGCCCTGGCATTCCTTTATCCAAGCGAACTTGTGTTTCCTGTGGTAATGTCTAACTTCCCTGGGGATACTCCCCCTTTGTAACTGCATTTGGAAATGTGAAACACAACCTGCCCAGAACAGCAAGGGGTAGAGGAAAAAGCAAAGTTTGCTGCTTATATATCACCCCATCACACTTAAAGCATTTTCTGGGCTGTTTACTGTTTAATTATGCAGGCTACAACTTGCTTTCCCCCCCTTCCCATCCCAGTGAGCTGGACATTAACTTTACTGACCTTGGAAGGATAGAAGGCTGCCCCCCCCCCATCCCAGTGAGCTGGACATTCACTTTACTGATCTTGGAAGGACAGAAGGCTGAGCCAACTTGAGCTAGTTACCCGAGCTCATTGGGATCAAACTCAGGTCATGAGCAGAGTCTTGGGTGCAGTCCTGCAGTTTAACCACTGCACCATAAGACTCTATAAGAAAGAAGAAGGATTGAGCATAGTAATTTAATCAGAAAAAGAAGGTGAACAGAAGCAAACTTATTGGACTTTGTTCCTTCCTACCATGTTCATTTCCCCCTCTTCCATTTTTACCACTTTGCTTTCAGTTAGCTCTCACATACCATTCTTTTCCCAATGTCATTTCCCCTCCTGAACAGTTGTGAAGTCACACTTCCAAGCCTGCAGGGATATTGAATTGATATTTCACAGGGATATGTGTTCAGGCTGATAAGGGTTAGGGGGAGGACAGAGAAAAAAATGACCTCCACTGACACGGATCATATTGTGTGTGCTTCCCGCAGCAGTTCTTAGTGAATATATATGAACGAAACTCTAGAACTATTTTAATTCCATGTCATCTTCCACAACATTTAAATTCTGAATGACCTCTGTGGAAACTCTATTGGGATATGGGTAGCTACTGAAACTTAAAAGCTTCCCAGCGCCTACAGAACAGAGTGCTGACGTGGGTGTCTTCCTTATTTTGTCTTTCCATAGCTTTTTAAGGGTACTGTTTTAGACAGAAGATCAGAAGAGAGCCTGAAGAAAATACAGGAAAAAAATACAACATGATTCACTCATAATCTATTTATGGCATGGCTTTCAATCTTATTTAAGAAAGCATATTTCCAAAGGAGACTGTGGGCCTGATTCAGCATGATGAGATTTCATAGTAAGATTTGTCAATTACATTCCAACATAAAACAAATCATTCTGTGGAACTATATTTAGGTCTTGGTAGAGCTGGACCTGAATTTTCACTAATCACTAATCATGAGTTCTAACTTTAATGTCTGTGGGACAGGTCAAGTCCTTGCTGCTGAAGGAAAACCACACTGTATTTTTTGTATTTGTGCCAACATGTGGGTGATTTGATGATATTTTAGGAAGTTATGGTTTACTATTATTAAATCTGCTTAGTCATAAAAGCTTGCTTATTCTGCTCGAGGCAATCAACATATCTTGACCAAAACTACCTCAAAGGGTTGTTTTCAAGATAAAATGGAGAGGAGGAAACCATGTAACACAGCCATGTACATTCCTAACACATGCATTTATATGTATATATATGCCACACAATAATCTTATCTGCAGGAAAAACTGTCAGGCAAAATAAGGCAAATTGTGAGAATCAAGGCTAGTATGATGGAGGGCATAAGGAGGAGATAGTGTAGGTGAATAGGGGACTCCATAGAGGGAGAACAGCATTTTCCCCCAGCCTGAAGAGGTGGCACTGACCAGTAAGCTAAAGGACCTAAAATAGAGCTTTGCCTTCTTGTGGACGCTGTAGGAATATGCTCCAACAACCCTCTTAGATTTCCAGAATTAAACAGTGGGCAATGGATAATAATCAGCAGCAAGGAGGGAGCAACACCAGCCAACTTTTTATCACATGCAGCAACAGCTAGAGAAGAAGGTCCAGCTAGCACTTAGGGATTCACAGAGAACAGGAAGAAATTAGCAATTTTCACAGCAATCCAAGCAGTAGTACCAAAAGTTGTATTCTACAGTCCAGGTCCTTCACCTCTGCAAGAACAGGAGAAGCTTTCTGGGATGCATATTTGACAACGCATGGCAGACAACCGTCCTTGAGAGACACCATCCCAGAGGAAGGACACGGCAGAGGCAGGGGTATACATGTAGGAGTCCTGCAAGCCAAATCCCTTGTTGTAGTGGGCTGAGAAGGAGTTTGATTGGGGATATCTGGCCAAGGTGGCTGTAGGACTGCTTCTTGCCCACGAACCAGTGTGCCTAGTGAGAGAGTGTTCTCGCATACAGGGGCATTGTCAGTCTGTACCACTCATGCCTGGAATCTGGATCTGTAGAAAAAATTATTTTCCTTAAGATTAACCTGCCACTGCTGGGCTTATGAGTCCCCTGCTCATAGGACTTGGTATGCTATGCTCCTTCTGCCTCTTTCATTCTTCCAACTGTTCTTCCGGGATTCTGCTCACTCACTCAACTGTGCTGAGCCTCATGCTGTTGGCACAGTTCCTACTCATCGCAGATTATCTGCTGGAACCTGATGATCCATAAGGTCCCTTCCGGCTCTGCAGTTCTAAGAATCTGCTTGTCAGTGCTGCCCATGGTATCTGCTCACTCTCCAGTGCAACCTGTCCTCTGCTTCTCCAATGCTTCCTTCCCAGACCTTCAAAGCCTGGTGTGATTTCTTCATACTCTCTCTTGGGTGTGTCATTTATTCCCACATGGATGAGAAGAAAGGCATAGGCATCTATGGGTTTTATGAGTGAAGGCAATCCTTCCATGAAATTTCTAATCCATCCTACAGAAGTAAGCATACCTGGTGGGTTAATGGATCTTTCTGGTATATTTCAGTTTCAATCTCACACAGTAGAGAGTCTCCTACTACAACTACTCTTCCCTTCTTCTTTTAGGGTGTGAGTATAGTGACTCTGCTTGGCTGAGCTTCACCTTCTCTCTTGTCCTCCCATGGGGTCTCCTGTATGCCTTTCCCTGCATGCTGCCTTCTCCTTCTTTTGCTCCTGTGTCTCTTTTTCATGGTTCTTTCTCCACTGTGTTCGTTCTCTCCTCAGCATTCTCCTCCCCACTTGTTTTTTCCACCTCCAGTGCTGTCTTTGGCTGTTGCTGCTTGAGAGTTCTATGTACTTTTCATCTTCTCTTAAAGCCTTAAGCATGGTCACTCATTGCTCCAGTTCTCTCACTTTCTCTTTCAACAATATTAAGAGTTTGCACTTGCTACATGCGTATGCTGCCTTGTTCTCAGGCACAAAGATAAACATTGCACACACTTTGCACGTAAACACCACTGAAGTGTCGCTTTCCTCCATGATTCCTGTTACATTTTACTTTCTTTTGTCTATGAGTGCACTTTCCTCTGTCTTCTCTGCCTTGAAAGGTGCTGGGAAAGTCCACTAATATATAGGAGTCAGCGAAAAGAAAGGCCCTCCCAGCGTTTATAGTGCACTATTCACTGCATGTTTAAGTTTATGATAGGAGCATCTTCCAGTAATTCTTTGCTAAAGTGGAAAGCACATTCGAGTTTACTGAACTAATTTATTTTGCCTGTTCTTCTACACAGCACAATACTTGCATGTGTGAATAAGAAATTTGGTAAAGGACCTGAGCAATTTTTTTTACTCTACTGATAATCCTTCATTTGCAAGCAATTTGAGAGTGTTTTGTTTTTGTTCTTTTAACTTTTTGAAAACTGCTTGCCATCATCAATATGAGTAATAAAGTTCCACAGAGTTGAACACTCCCTGACAAGGAAGTTTTAATTAGCTGAGATGGCAGATTTTGCAAATGCTATAACTGAAGTTCTCCTTGCAGGTTCTTGCCTACAAATCCTTATGTGCCATGTACAATAAGTCTCGTCAGTTTAAGCAAACTTTATTGGGTAGTTCAATCTAACCCAGATGGTTGCTGACAGAAGTTCTTCAGGTGATGACAAGATTCCACTAACTCACTACACATGATTTCAGTTAACGCATATTGCTGGTTCATTTTATTCTAGGATACAAGCTCTGGTTGCAAAATGCAAATATGAAAAAAATATGAAATGTTAGAAAAATCATTTATATGTGTACAAACTTGACCTAGATCCACACTTAGCTAAGATCCCACTAAAAATCGATTGAATAAATTAGACATGGCTTGAGTCTTATTGATTTCAGCAGGAACAACATTCAACTAAATTTGGATTCAACCTGATATTCCTCAAGTGTGAATGTGTGTTTAAATATACAAAGGGGAAAGGGTAGTGGAGACTAGAGTGGAGTGGAGACTGTCAGTCCGAATAACTGACTTTTTAATTAATCTAATTCCTGTAAGATTGGGAATATTTGTGTTGTTTGGGCAACAAATGGGATGAAGACAGTTCAGCGGAGACAGCCACCACTTTCCACTCTTGTTAGTGTCTACCATGCTAGATGAGATGAACCAACAAAACAATTTTGCAGGGTTCAGGCTTGGTCTATGGGAAGGAAGTTGCGGCAGTATTAGTTGGTGGTCTGCAACTCCTCTATGCTACAGCCAGCGTGGCCAACTTTGGGAAAGGATGGGATTTGCAAGCCAGCATCTGGAAGGCCACACATATTTCCTATCTCTACATTAAATGAAACATTGTTAAAACTTGGATACTGATAGAAGAAAGCAGTAGTATTCAGCACTCAATCTCCAGGTTCATGCTTTTACAAGAAAATGAAATTAAACAGATCCCTGTACTGTCATGAATACATGAAGTAATGCTGTGGATCAAGAACATTGAACTTTCAGTGCATATGGACTGCAATGAGACTGTGTGGGACTAAATTAAGAACCAAAGCTCTTGGTAAAGTGAAGGAATAACTCTAATTAGAAGTCCCCTCCTCTGCCTAACCTCATGTGACAAGCAGATGACTTTGCTTGTGCTTTCTCATTTTCTCAATGATTTCCTGTTTATGACAATAGGGAACAAATACCAAGTGGATGTACGGTACATTTATGTGTGTACCTGAAAGCTATAAAAAGTGATCATGAGTAGGGAAAAATACTAAAACATTCTTAGTATTTATTTTCATTACATTCAAATAACTTTTAAATGTAATGAAAATGCATCCAAATTTTTGTAAATTCAAATTTATAGACCACTATTATTTTTAGTGGTCTACAGAGGTATTTTAGTGGTCTATAGAGGTATCGCCTATTTTTGCATTTGTATTTTATCTTGTATTTTATCTTGTTTGGAACACACAGGTTAACACTTACTTCTATGGAACTGCAAGGATACCAAAAAAAAGCCCCCCCCCCCCTTTGCATAGTGAGAAGACACATGGGCTCTCAACGTCAGCAGGAACAGAACCACTAGGCGATATCATTTCGGCTTTAGTTTGGCCGCAATTGGCTGGCCAAGCTCAGCTGGCAGGGGGTGAAAGGAATGTGCAGCGTCAGTGTCACGGGAAGGAGGGAAGAAGGGAAAGAGCAAGGCTAGCAGACCCGTCAGTGGAGCAAGGGGGTAAGCCACAGCGGCAGTGCCACAAAGAAAATTTCCCATGTGGTTTGGGTGAATGAAAAGTTTAATGAAAGATGGAAACATGTAAGAACCCCAAGCTCTCATGCCTTCCTCTTCCATTTAAATGAGTCCTTCAGGTTCAAGAGGCTCTCTTATGGGAACCTACAAAAGAAGTGCAAAACTAAAGAGAGGCCCTCTTTTGGGTTTTGTTTGTTTGTTTGTTTCATTCAAGTTAACCCAAAAGTCCCATCTCTACTAACTAGGGGCAATCTGCTGATTCTGGTAATGTTCTCAATTGTTGAGAAAAGTGTAAATCATGCTACATTTCAACCAGATAAAGAGAAATCCTGAGATGCAGCATGGATCCCAGTAATGCATTCACACAACCAATCATGCTTAGTTGTGCACAGTCTAATCCTTCTGCAGTGCCAACCGTAGAGGGGTCCTGAGCACTGGCAGGCAACGGATGATTGCTCAACCAATTCATTTATTTATGCAGGTGCAAATGTGAATGCCACATGAGAGACATGCTGAATGATGTTATGTCACAACATATTAAACAGGTAGCTCCTCCACGTTGGTCAGAGAACGCTCCTTTAAAGTGCATTAATACTTATTTCTGAACTGTATCAACATCACCATTAAATATATATTAGCATCATACTGTCTGCAGGTTGTTTTCGCATCATAGAACAGATCCACAGATACCTCAACTGTAACTACCCATGGTTCTGCTGCATGATAGTTGTTTTTTGAAACAGCACTCTGAATGCTGGAAACCTCTTCTGATATGAGCATGTGTTTTGGAAGCAATTCAGGTTGTAAAAGAAGGTAGAGCAGGGCTATCATGGAGAGGGAAACAGCCAGCAACCCCACAGGGG